CCTGTCATTCCTGGGTGTGGAGAGGAAAGGAGAGGACTGATCAGTTTAGTTCAACTCTACTTCCAGGTGGTTTTCCCTTAGATTCGAGGGTTCCTGGCGTCCTTCCTCCCTCTCAAGCCCACACAGGAGTAGAAACAATTCAGGATTTCCTTTTGGTTTTCTTTTAAATCCAAGAATCTCTTCACTTGAAGTTGAAATATCTTCTTCAGAGCCTTCAAACTTCATTTCAAAGGTCAATAACCCTTTGGGTCTCCAGATCAGACTAGGCCACTTGCTGCTGTTGCTGAGGGAAATATTCCTTTGGGGCCCTTCGAGACTTCATTCCCACATTACGCTAAACCATGGTTTGCTTCTGGTTAGCCCAAAGTGGGAACCAGCCCTTGTGACTTGGTGCTATTTGTGAACACAGAGCATGATTTATGGTCACAGCGATCCCTGCAACCTTTTCCCAGTTCCACCAGATCCTCTTTGAGGCACAAGTTTCTCATTCCTTCTTTGCAGCCGCAGATTCAGGCAACTGTTCCCTCTCTGGGATCCCTTCCTCCCCCCCTCTCCAAGTGTTCCCCCTGCGGAGGAATGGCAGAAGGAAAGATGGAAGGGTCTCCGTCCTTCCGTTTCTTTGCGACTCCTTCTTTTCTCAATCTCCCTTGGGATCCTCTGCTGGCTTTTCCAGATTTCCTTTTCTTGGGGAGCTTCAGGGCTCCATCCTGGGAGGAAAATGCAGGGATGGTGGTTGAGGGAAGGGAAAAGGGCAATTACTGATGGGGACTTCTTTCCCTTGAATGCTTGGGAGGAAATGGGGGAGGGATCAGTGCCAGTGTCAAGGTCACTGCAGAGAGGGGGTCTCTGTCTATCTTCAGGACTCCCCAAACCATCCTCCTGTCTGTCTTTCAGGTCTTCACACGTTGCAGAACATGTATGGCTGTGAGCTCCAAAGAGATGGGAGCAAAAGAGGGTTCGACCAATATGGCTACGAAGGGAGGACCTTCCTCACCTTCGACAAGGAGACCCTCACCTGGGTGGCTCCCGTTCCCCAGGCCCAGATCACCCAGAGGAAATGGGACGCTCTTCCAGAATGGAATCAGGGAAATAAGGCCTACCTGGAGGAGGAATGCATTGAGTGGCTGGAGAAGTACCTGTCCTACGGGAATGAGACTCTGCTGAGGACAGGTGAGCATCTGGATCCAGACTGGACTTTCCTCCTTTATGGCTGGATCTCTTGTACACATTCAGCCCCTTTGGGTCCCTGATCTTTAGCCTGTTTGTTCTGGTGGGAATCCCCCTCCTCCTCTTACAGCTCCTCTTGCATGTAGACCCTCCCTCCCCTAGGTCTACCCCTCCCCCCTTGGGTCCTTCATCCCTCCAGGTTCAGCTGGATGAGAATAAGATCAATGGGAGAATTCCCCCCCCCCACTGATGATTGCCCACAGCCCCTCCCTGCCTGGGGAGGACCCTCTCTCTCTTCCATTGGCATCAACCTCTCTCTGCCCCCCCCTTTCAGAGACAAACCTCTTTTCCCAATTGATCAGTGTGAGATTCCCTTTGATCTCTCTTCCTCTTAAAATTGGGGTTGTGTCCCTTGGAAAGAGGCCTGGAGCAGCCTCAGATTCAGGGGAGCAGAAGAGGAGGCAAAAAGTAGGGAGAATCTTCTGTGCTGTTGTTGTTGTCTTGAAAGGGACCTTAAAAGACCATCTCCACTTTCCCTCCCCTGAAGGGAGCAGCCCAAGATCACTCAGAGTTCAAAGCAGTCAGAGAGGAATTTCCTTGGAGCCTCAATTTGCTTCCGGAGGTTTTTCAGGCTGAGTCCCTGGGAAGGACTCAAAATCAGGAGTTCTGGTTGAGCCTTTTCCAGATCTGGATAATTTCCTAAAAG